AGACCTACTGCTACAGAGGCTGCTGCTACACTGGTCGTCTTCTCTTGCATTTGTTGTTGAGTGTGCGATAGAAGAGCCAAGTCATCTGCGAAGTGCAGATCGTCCAGCTTCGTCCTAACTGTCCAGTTGATACCGTGCTTCCCTCCAGATGTCGACGTATTCATAATCCAGTCGATGATCAGGAGAAAGAGAAAGGATGAGAGTAAGCAACCTTGCCTGACACCGGTCTTCACCTCGAAAGAGTCTGTTAACTGTCCTCCGTGTACGATTTTGCAGTTGAATCCATCATGAGAATTCCGTATGATGTTAACTTCTTGTCGAAGAAGCCTCCACAGTGTTTTCCTATCCACACTATCAGTTCTATTACTATCGATTAAGTTCAAGGGATTTACATTTCTATTCAAACGGATATCTTACAGGATGGATTGATTAAAGTTGTTAGCTAACACTGAAAATAAAATTCTCACTTGTACAAAACTGTTTATCTATGATTAATTTTTGCCTGCTTCTATTTGTTTTTTGTTTTTTCTTCTTGATTTTATTTTCCGCTTAAATTATTCCAACTTCTCTATAATCAATTCGTCACCAATTAAATGTGATCAGTAACTGAAAATTTCAAATGGTCATTAATTATATTTTGTTATTTATAGCAGCCTATCCTAATTTTAAATATTTTTGTGAAGATACTAACTGACTTACAATCTATCCCAACTCCGACACGCGCTTGTGATAGGGAGTGAAGTAGTTGAGCGTATCGACCGCTGCACTTATCTCTGCAGTCTCATCAGTGCTGATGGCCTAGTGTTTAACGAAAGGAATAGGTTGGAATAAAGGTGGGGGCGACCAAACCAAAACATGGCAGAAATCCATAAAGTCACTGACAAGTGGACTGAGTCATGTTGGTAGATGTAGGCTAACTGGTCGGGGTCCGCGAGATAATAGTAATCGATGGTTAGAGACCTTGAACGACATGGTTAAAAATCGTTTGCAACGGCGCAGGTGCATCCAATCTGTGTTCTACTATCGCTACCACTATGGGATTTGAAGCGACAGTTGAGTATCTGTGTTGATGCGGTATGGCAACTTGAACTTATGTACTCATGTACGAAGTTCTACATTGTGACTAACTTACTATTACAGTGCAAATTACATATTAATCATTTCAGGATTTATCAAATACAGAATGTGTGACGTGTTCAGAAACATATTCACTTACTTCTGATCATTATGCAAACCCTTCCTGACAGTTGAAGGCTTTAAATAATAATAATGTAACTCATTTTCTATTTTTTAACAGATTGTTATATTGAAGTCACTATAGATTTAACTGTATCGCTTGAATAAAATTTTATCAGTAGAATCGTCCCCCAGGTACACCGTTCTAGTGTGTTACAAAGCCTACCAATCAAGCATTGATAAATGTTTACGCTCAAAAACCCACGGTAGGGTAAAATTTATAGTCAACAAATCTATAGTCAGACCAAAAATCTGCCTGGTTTCCTCAAATCTTTTATTCGAGGCGTTAGACGCGTCAAATGATTATATAGCTGAAAATTAATATATTCATCAAGTTAACTCTTATGGTTATCACAAGATCTTTATTCTTTTTTAGTAAGCTAAGGACGATCAAAAAAATAAGTATTACCTTTTAAACCGTCTTTTCTTAACCTTGTTATGCCCTCTAGAGAGCAAAATAGCTATAAATTTTGGTTATTCACGAAGAGTATCAAACCGCCGCTACTAAACCACATTACAGTCAGAAATACAATTTTCAAACCTCAAATTTATTTATTTTGGTTCCATCATTGTCTACTCCACTTAGTTGTTATTATAATAAAAACTTCATAGGACAAAATCTCTAAGGAAGGATTTGATTTTGACCAATTTTGTCTCTCGTGCTGTTACGGGTATGAGGGCGGTTGTCACTTTTCAGCTGCCCACACCGTGGAAGGTTGTTTCTTGAGGGACCTGAAAAGGAAGATAGATTATTGTTGGTCTTAGAGACCTGGGTGCGTGACCGCAGAGCCCAACGGACAACTGCTTCAGGCCGGTCAAGCATGGCCTTTTTATCAAAGGCTTTTTGAGTATTAGCTCCGCTCTTAAAAGCCCTTAGTGGGCACCCTTACCGACAGAGACGGTAATCCGTGAGGTAGGGTGAGGAGTGACATTTTTAGGGTCGACCTTTTCTAACCCTTCCTTCCTTGTGAGAAGGCAGCATCGCTGCAGATGCTGGTTGTCCGAGGGAAACACCTTACTGCTGTCACACCCCTCCATCACAGTCAGCAGTACGACTTCGCCCTCAGACCTTGGGTAGCTGCTTTTAGTCTCATCGTTCTCCAATCGAACTGCCTGCCTGGCATGGTAGAACCTTCAGGAACATATGTTCCAACCAATATAGCTCTGCTGGGTCATCACGATAGGCAATCTCGACCACCACGTCAAGGTAGCAGCTTCGGTCGGGGGACAAGCCCTCTAACCGACACAGACTATCCACGTCGTCACAGTGAGCAAAAAACAATCAAATGAACAGAGTTCGAGAATACAAACAAACAAACAACCTGGGATAAAAACATTGATTTATTTACAATTTGTGCATTTAAACAGAACAGAATTTAAGAACTTACTATTGAAGCTCTCAAAAAGAAATATATATATATATATATATATATATATATAGCTAGAAACTAATGCCGCTAAGAAATATATAAATTGACAGTGTGATGTTCATGTAACATTGGACTATTGACAAAAAGAAGTTGAAAACGTTACAAAAAATTTTAGAAAAAGCAATATTCACGTAAAAAGATAATCAACCAATCAATGAATAATTACATAATTCAATAAATAAATTGCTAGGCTTAAAATTTTTACAAATCAACAAACATACAGACAAAAAAAGAAAACCTGTTTTTTGTGTAAGGAAGCTCAAAATTTAAAAAAAAAAACAAAAGATAACTAATAATTGTGTATCATTTTCGTTGATTGATTGATTGATTGATTGAATTCAATTCAATTCTAAAATAATCCACAATCTTTAAGATTATTTTTAATGATTACATCAGTCACTGCATCGAATACAAATTGTATATGATTTGTATCTGTTGCACAAGTGAAATGTGAATAAATATCTTTAGGTCCACTACGAGTATTACAATTTTCAAAACGTAAACGAATATACTCTGAAGCTTCATCATAATTATTTCCACCTTCATATATAATAAAAAGTTGTAAGAAAAATAATAATAATAATAATTTAATGTGAAAATTATAATAGTTAATCAAATTAGGACAATGAATATAAAATAATAGTCCTTCATCTAGGGGGAATTAATTAATGAATTAATTCTGTGGTGCGCACTACTTATAAGTAGTATATGACGTGAGTGTCAACGTAATGTCTGGCAGCAGAAGATGGGGGAAGATCAAGAAAGTAAGAAGAGTTAGAACACAATGGAATTTGTATGAAACAAATGAATAGTGAAATGTCAGACAATGGATTGATGATGGATCGAAGATTTGCAAATTAACGATTTACGATATGGTTTTCCTATTTTACTGAGTAACTCTGTAATTTTCGTTAAATACAATTCGGTTGACCTCACCTGTGTTCTCCTTCACTACAATTCACTCATGATTTAATTTTAAATTATTTTAGTTGAAATGATAAATCCATGTGATTAGTAAACAGTTTTTATGAAATTTTTTCCATATAAATGATAATAATATTAATAATAATTAAGAAGGTATCATGTCATCGGGTTAATACACATTTTGAAATAACACTTCTTGTGATAACATAGGAGTTGGGTTGGAAGAAAGTTAGGGGTGGCCAGACCAAAACATGGCACAAATCCATGAAGTAAGTCACTGACAAGTGGACTGAATTATGTTGGTGAATACAGACTTCCTGATTGGGGTCAGTGAAACGAAAGTCACCAATGGTTAGAGACCTTGAATGACATGGTTCAAAATCGTTTGCAATCGCGTAAGTGCATCCACACTTTGTGTTCTCTCAAATTCTAACCATCGGAATTCCTAATAATCTCTATCTTTCTTTTTTTAAATTTATCTCACTGAATTATACTTCTTGAATAATAATCTTTGAACCCTAATATTCTCCATTACCAGTAATTCTTCTACTATCGCTACTACTATGGGATTTGAATTGACAGCTGCGTCTCTGTGATAATGTGGTATGGCAACTTGAACTGATGTACGTACGTACAAAGTTCTACGTCGTTACTGACTGACCGATAACATACATACATTTACTGATGTGATGTAATAAAATGGACCTATCCACATAGTTTTAGTCTTTACATTGATTTGAAACGACTGACTGATCTCACATCAAAACTTAGTCGGAAACAATGAAGATGAAATCAATGAATTTCATGTTCAACTAAAAAAAAAACTATGTAACAAGGATGTTTTAGGTGTATGTTTCATTGATTGCAATAAGGATTTGGATGCTAAATAACTTAGTTATCATGATCTCGTTTTGGCTAGATAATAAACGACTGTCTTGGAACAGACAAAATACGAGACTGTTTACTAAAATGTTGAAGTAATACTAACATCCGTAAGAATTGAATTGAACTTACATTCACATTCATCGTATCCATCAGTTGTGTAATGGTAAACGCAAATGAAATTATATGAGAGGATAGTAATAACCAGAATAAAAAATGAATAGGTCACGTGAATGATGGCGTTTCGTTGTCTCAGCACAGAGAACGAAACACCACCATAGAAAGTAATTGCAGCCTCCACCAAAAATCAACGAAACAACAACAGATAGCCATATGTAACCACATATTCAATCAAATTCAGCCATTGTAAATTTAGAAAAAAAACTAACTCAGCATTCAACTGATTATTACTTCACCTGATAACTATGATATCAGAGAAAACAAAGGCAGTGTCCACAAGTGTAACTTAATTCAAGACTAGCGAATTTCCTAGTCAAGCTAACAGCTTAACAGACTTAACTACTACTATAATTTTTACAGTCTCAAGGTACTGTTGAAACATAACTCTTTATTATTTATGCCAAACAATGAGGAAAGTTTACAGATTCCCACTTACAGTCAGTCAGAGTCAGTCAGTTGCAACGTAGAACTTCGTACGTATGTACATAAGTTCATGTTGCCATACCACATTATTAGCACAGAGACGCAAGTGTCAAATCAAATCCCATGGTGATAAAGATGGTAGAGGTATTAATGTTATAATAAAGAAGACTAGGGTTTAAGATATTATTCAAAAAATATAATTCAGTGAGATAAGGTTAGAAAGACAAAGGTAGAGGTGCTGGCTAATCCAGAAGATTAGGATTTGAGAGAGCTCAAAGAGTGGATGCACCTGCGCCATTGCAAACGATTTTGAGCCATGTCGTTCAAGGTCTCTAACCATTGATGACTTTCGTCTCGCGGACCCCAACCAGGTAGTCTACATCTACCAACATGACTCAGTCCACTTGTCAGGGACTTCATGGATGTCTTCCATGTTTTGGTCTGGCCGCCCCTAACTTTCTTCCAACCTACTCCTACACCACAAAACATAGCTCGTCGAGGCAGTCGGTGGTTAGGCATACGTAACACATGTCCCAACCACCTCAACTGATGAAGTTTCACCACTTCATCGATTGATCTGCCATCCTTACCTAGTACTCGTTTCCTAACGACAGCATTGCTTACTCGGCTGTCCCACGATATACGAGCAATGCTTCTTAAACATCTATGATCGAATACTAGTAACCTACGAACATCTTCTACTCTTAACAGGCCATGTTTCACAGCCATATAAGAGAACGGAACGAACTGCTGCGCAGTACACCCGTCCTTTGGTTAGCGAACGGATATCACGCCTACGCCATAAGTGACGCAGGTTGGCAAAAGCCAATCGAGCTTTCTGTATCCGAGCTGAGATTTCGTCAGTCACCAGACCGTCAGCACTGATGAGACTCCCAAGATAAGTGAAGCGGTCTACACGCTCAACTACTTCACTCCCTATCACTAGTTCAGGTGCCGAAGCAGGCGGAAAAGTTGTCTAGTGTTGCCTATCACCGCTGCCTTTCCCATCGCTTTTGCTTTCGCCACCCACCACTGTTCGCGGTCGTTACGTAGGCTTTTTATAAGTCTGCGCCTAAGTTGAGTACGCTCTTCATCATGTTCAGAGTCAGGTGGGATGCGTTTTCGTGCATCCATCAGTTCGGTGGATGCGACTGAAATCCACGGCTTCATCCTAGCCTTATGGTTTACCTTGCTAGCAGATGTCACTGCTGTTTCCACAGCCTTCTTGATATGATTCCAACCTGACTCCGGATGGGAATTACTTGCATGATCGCCCAACTGTTTTTCTAGTTCCTCCTGAAATATTTTCTTAGCTTGATTATCATCAAGTAAAGCCCTAAGAGGCTTCCTTACGGTGTCTTTCCTACGTCCAGCAAGCCTCAAACAAATACGTGCTCGCACAAGGGCATGATCTGAATCTAAACATGTGCCCCAGAACGAGCGACAGTCCTCTATCGAACCCCTCCATCGGTGGCTGATGGCGATATGATCTAGTTGCGTCCAACGTTGAGACGACTTCGGGGGTCGCCACGTCAAAAGGTGTTTTTCCTTATGCTTAAAATTAGTGTTTGCTAGAAATAGTTGGTTATCTGAACACAGTTGCAACAGACGGTCGCCATTGTCTGTTCTTTGAGCCGCGAGACCGTAACATCCACCTAGGTGTCTTTCATTTTCACTTAGTCTACCTACTTGTGCATTGAAGTCACCAGCCATTATAACTATATCAGAGCGCTTAACTTTTTGGAGGAGGTCCGAAAGCTTTCTGTAAAACTCATCTTTTACATCATCTGGGCTGCAGTCAGTGGGGGCGTAGGCTGATATAACGAAGAGGCAACGGCGAGTGTCCCTATCTTTCCGAGTCCTTACTGTCCCGTTCAGTCGGACGGCGCACAAGCGACTATCTACAGGGATCCAGTCAAGGAGAGATTGTTCTGCCCTACGACTCAATGCTATACCTACACCGGCGAGGCCCCTAGAAGCAGCATCAGGGCTACCGGATACACGAAGTGTAAATCGAGCTGCTTCTTTATCTTGACATGGTGAGGTCAAATGAGTGATGCTACTCGGATCCTGTATGCGCGTTTCCGAGACGCAGCATACATCGATGGCACGAGATTCTAAAGTCATAGCTAAGGAAGCCTGTTGCCCTATTTGACACAATGTCCGTACATTGAATGCTCCAACATGTAGTTTGGAACGGGGTTTAAGGAGACCAGGAACGACGTTTCGCAAACTCGCATCGTTTGCATTAGCTGTGCACTGTAATAAATGAATGTGAGAAGAGTTAGTTGTGGAGATAAGAGAGGTATTAGGGAATGTAGGAAGGATTTGATTTTGAACAATTTTGTCTCGTGTGCCGTTGCGGGTATGAGGGCGGTTATCACTTCCCGGCTGCCCACACCGTGGAAGGTTGTTTCTTGAAGAACCTGAAAAGGAAGATGGATTAGTGTTGGTGCGTGACCGCAGAGCCCAAGGGACAACTGCTTCAGGCCGGTCACGCACGGCCTTTTTATGAGAGGTATTTAGAGGATTAGCTCCGTTCTTAAAGGCCCTTAGTGGGCACCCTTACCCAAGGAGACGGAAATCCGTGAGTTAGGGGAGGTGTGACATTTTTAGGGCCGACCTTTTCTAACCCTTCCTTCCTTGTGAGAAGGCAGCATCGCTGCACATGCTGGTTGTCCGAGGGAAACACCTTACTGCTGTCACACCTCTCCATCACAGTCAGCAGTACGACTTCGCCCTCAGACCTTGGGTAGCTGCTTTTAGTCTCATCGTTCTCCAATCGACCTGCCTGGCATGGTAGGACCTGCAGGAACATGTGTTCCAGCCAGTATAGCTCGGTTGGGTCATCACGATAGGCAAGCCCGACCACCAAGTCAAGGTAGCAGCTTCGGTCGGGACCACTTACAGTGGTTAAAAGACAAGACTAATAGATTTTTAAAATGTAATAGTTTCTTAGTTTGTTTTGGAACTTTTAAGGGAATTGGTAGAGAAACTGCATGAAACCAGTAATGAACAAAGTAAAGCTTGGCATAGATATCCACCAAGGAGTGTGAGCACGATCTCATTAAATTGAGCAAGGGAATATTTGAATATGCATATGTTCGACTCTCTGATAGTCATGAACTAGGTAACCGATTGATTTCGTTTTTTAAAAATCTGGTGAAAAGTGATACAGTGGGTCAATCAGAAATCGTTAAATGAGAAGGCTACTTGGTGCTAATCAAATATTCCTCAAAGGACAAGTGCATGCGATTGGCTACAAACTGGGGTATAAATGAGTATTTACGCAAGTAATTCGGTAGCCCGGCTGACCTTCGCCTTTACTTTTTGCTCAGAAGTCCGTTGGCAGGTTGTGTTTTAGTACCAGATATCGGACACCACCTGTCATAGCAGAAAGTTTCCAAACTATGTATAATTGATAAAAACTCAAGAGCGATTTAATTATCAACAATAGTACGATTAATATCACAGTCAGAATATCTTTCTATCAATATTCAATAGACCATTCAATATTAGACCATATATATTGATCTTAGAATATTAAAGATTCGCATTGTGAAAATTAGGAAAACACATATAAGCGAACAATTTTGTTCTCAAATAGATCGTTATCAGGCTTTGCTCTAATGTACATAATTATTCATATGAGAATGTTAGACCAATCAAGGCATTTTGAGTTAATAATCACAATGAAACGCAATAGATTACGTCACTACACATAATAGGCGAAAGTACAGGTTGATAGTAGGAAGACAGGTGTACAGTGATAGTAGTAAGAAAATTATAAAATACGATAAGAAAAGTTTTATCAATAGTAGGTCAAACGTGGATAAATAGACTTAAACTAATCATTACCAAACATCAACACCATTACGTAATAAGAAGTGTGTACATAATTAGATAGTGAAGAATATAAACGGAAAGAGACAGAAAATTACCAACAAATACAGGATGTGATAATGATAACAAAAATAAAATTTAAACCGAAAAAAAATTTTAAATCTTAAATCGTTAGTTACATCATATCCGGCTACGGAAGAGTTAGGGGTGTCACAAATTTCTTCTGAACACATAAACTGTGGTCGAATGTACGAATTCCTATGGCTTCTGCTATGTGTAGGAGATGGGTTTGAACTCCTTTGGGGAAATGATGGAAGTATTCGATAGATCACTCAAAATGATTCAGGTGTGTCTATATTAAGACCGCTACCAACCAGATGTGCCAAGACAGAACTGCGTATTGTATTTACCTGGCTCTTTCTAAAAAAATGCCGAGTAGACATCGTTGTAGTCTAATAAACAATGACTTCTTTTAAGCGTTCAATGGAGGTGTGGCCTGCGACACTCTGCAGGACAGATTACCGAAAGTAATTAGTAGGATATTCAATGCAGTCAAACTTGCATTGATCTTCTCAAGTCGAAGGATAAATTACCTGATCTGGCCTCTTCTATGTGCATTAACAAATTCAGCTGCTCCTGTGGAGATAACTATATTGGGCGTACTACTAGGCAACTTAACCAACAAATGAGTGAACATTTCTCGGCATTGTCTATTTATCCACATTTGACCTACTATTGATAAAACTTTTCTTATCGTATTTTATAATTTTCTTACTACTATCAGTGCACCTGTCTTCCTACTATCAACTTGTACTTTCGCTTATTATGTATAGTGACGTAATCTATTGCTTTCCATTGGGATTAATAACTCAAACTGCCTTGATTGGTTTAACATTTTCATATGAATAATCATGTACATTAGGGCAAAGCCTGATGACGATCCATTCGAGAACAAAATTGTTCGCTTATATGTGTTGTTGTAATTTAACATATTGATTGTCCTTTATTTTTCTATCTGAGGGAGTGGCCAATCGTTAGGGGAGCAAAGTAGACTAGTCGGAGACAAGAACAAAATATTAATATTTATAATACTACGTATATCATGCTGAACTTGATAAATCTATACGAAATAGGAGTGTTTGAGTAACAGAATGTTTATTAATTTGAATAGAAAATGATCTTAAGTCTTAAGAATCTAGATTCGTACAAAAATACGGTCAGTAAGTTTGTTTACTGTAATCTATGTTTTTCGTTATCTAAACTGTCAAGAGTGAATGTGCACCGTATTGACTCCGCAGGATATTTTAATATACATCCTCAGCTCAATTTGAAATACACTACAAACAAAACCGAAACTAGATTGAGTAGAGAAAATTCAATCCTCTTCTTTGTGTTGGTTGGTTTATAAGGACAAAAAGTACTACCGAGATGAAAAGCAATAAACAGGAATTGTTTTGTTTTAATAATGCTGTACCGTAGTTTAAGAATGCTTAGTGATACATCGATACATGTGGTAACAAGTAAAAGCTGAAAAAAATGTAAATCTTACCAGTGTACTCTGGGAAACATATGGTTAACGGTGTTTTCATTATTTTATTCTCAAAAATATCTCGCTTGTTCAAAAATAAAATGATGCTTGTTTCTGTAAACCACTGGTTATTACATATTGAGCTAAACAATGTCATAGACTCCATCATTCTACTCTGAAATAGAATACAACAAAACGAAAATAAGGATGTGACTATTAGAAGTCAAACTAAAGTCAGATACGCGATCACCAATCATGGAGGCGAAATCAATTATAGACACGATACTCCTATATTTCCACAAAAAACAACCTTCACTAAAAATTGTTTGAGTATTAGGCATCCGGAAATTCCTGCTCAAGAGTAGTATGCTTGGATATGTCATGATAATTATTAAAATTCACTAAGTACTCTAAACACGGTGTACTATGCGCATGAAGCCGACCAAGTAACTTGAGAATAATGAATTAATGGAGATATAGACATCTTGATTAATTCAGTATGTAACAAACAATGAAATATTCTGTGTGAATGGTTAATATATAGAACGACAATACAGGAAGCATAACTCAAAAGTACTCATCTGAGCTACAAATGTTTTTCCCACAGCTATAAAATATGAAAATCATTTCAACCTGAATAATTAAAACAAGATTTTAAGCGACTTAATATTACCAAAACAAATCGTCGATTCAGTAAGTCTTCGACAATAGGAATGATCCATGTTGGTAGATGTAGATTACCTGATTCGGGTCCGCCAGACAACAAGAATCGATGGTTAGAGACTGGATGAAAACCACTTATAAAGGCGCATATTCATCCGTACTGTCTTCTCTCAAATTCTAATCTCCTGAATTTCTCATGAGTGTTTTAGCTTTTAAAAATTTACTTAACTAGAATGCACTTCTTGAATCATATCTCTAATAGCTTATCTTTGCGATTACCGTTAACACTGCTAATACCTCCACTATTAATGAATTTGAAATGACAATTCCGTCTATTTGTGTTAATGTGGTAAGGAAACTTGGACTGATGTACGTACACACTAAGTAACAGGTCGTCTCAGGCTCACTTTTAAGTAGTCAACTAGATAAAATTGAGTTGTTAATACTAGACTGTAGCGTTTGATGTAGCTGTGTGACTGTAGTAGGCGGAGGAGTCAAATTCGGTTTTTCGAGTAACTACATTTATACAAATCGCGCCAGAAAGCAAAAAATAAAAAAAATAACCTTCCGTGTGTAACAAAATTGTCATAAAATAATCACCATTTCTTGATCTTCAGCCAGAGTTAAATCGTATTCACTTATAGCAACCATAAATATGATCGCGGTAACGCCTTCGAAACAATGAATCCATTTCTTTCGTTCTGAACGCTGCCCTCCAACGTCAAGCATCCTAGAAACATGATTTAAATAATAAATATCCTTGCTTGAAATTTAATCCTTTAAAAGAGAAGTGGGTTTCTGCAATTCCGCTTGTCCTAACTCTCGTACGAAGGACATCCTGTTGTGTTGGGACATAACTATGGCTTGATAACCTATCCAATGAGTCAAGGAAGCTAAAAAATAATTTAAATTTGAAAATAATCTTACTATGATGCAGAATCGTTTAACTGAAATTCTCGAGATCTATTAACAGCTGCTTGGACTCCTGGGTCATACCAAAGCCTCTTCAGCGCGCCAAATACTTCTTCGGGAAGAACATCAACATCTGTTCGTGGAAGGTTGAGGACCACAGCAATATCATCCTGAATTTAATAAATTTAAACTTGAAATACCATTGCGTTTGGATATGCACAGCATATCTGCAGTTGTTCCATAGCTCTCAGTATGGCTATCATGCTCTGGATAGTATTGCTGAAAACAACTGGTCTGTATGCTTTGCATTCTTCCTCAGTGTAACCAGACATATGAATAATTCTGCAAATTAATATTCAAATAACATACTTCATTTGTTTAACGATTGTACTCTTCCCTGACTCTCCGGCACCAAGAAGTAAGAGTTTGGCCTCTTTGCATGAAGCCTCGCTATCAGCTTTAAGAGTCTTGTCAATATCTTTGGATCGAGCTATAGCAGCTAATCTCTCTTTACTCTGAATACATCCCATATTTGCAATTTTCGAAACAAGAGCCGATTAGAACTGGTATCAAATTACCGCCATAAAGTGAATGAAACTTAGCTTACATAAAATATGAAGGGCGTATAATAACGGGTTTCGCGCTATCTTTAGTACTACCGAACTGAGTAAAAAACTTTTACTCCATATTAAATTGAGACAAATCATAGGAATAATTGTTGTCAGTACACTATGATCCAATTAAACTCCGAATATCAGTAAACAGATTATGGCAAGACATACTTCCTGTTATATTTCTCTGCAACTTAAATGGAAAACAGTTATAAATTTTTTTGTAATTATTATCAGAACAACTGATTTGTATTGATTGCTCACAGCGTACCAAAACCGTAAGACGTGGACCATCTCTTAGCCCTTTTGTTGCCTGGTTCATAATTGCGAGTGCATGGATTTCCCATATTTTTGAAGTTAACCAGAGCATAATTTAGATGTAACACTAAATTTGAATGTAAACTACCCTAGGACAGATTATACTCCTGATAATTTCTCCAAACCACTGTACAAATGACAACACCGAAAACGTTAGACTCCACCATTCAAAAAATAAGAAGACGGAAGACGTTGGAGTGCACCTATTAACGGAATCAAAATATACAATAAAACATGCTTACTTATACAATTATATATACAATCCATATTGTCCTTAAAATATTCGAACATTAATCAAATAGTTCATCGATCGACTGCCCTTGAAATATTTAAGCATTTAATCGATAAGTTCATCAATCGACTGTGTGCGTGGGTGGCTTCCCGATAGCTATCCCAACAGCTCCCCGGAATAAGATTTTTTTCTTGGGTCCACTTGCAGTCTTACGACTGGGTTGCGGCGGTGTTCCATCCTGTTTGTAGTTTTTCTAGTTAGTGTCTCCGACCTTCTCTTTTGTTCGGTATTCCGGGACAAATGTGTAGTTGTCGGTTCTGTCGCCAACGTTAAAGCTGCCCACACTTTTATTTAGCCTGTACCTTTTCACTCTTTTAGGGGGCAACATCGCGTTAAAAATAGTCCGAACACATCTTCCAAACATTGCTTCAGCTGGAGACCTCCCATCTGCGACCGTATGGCTCGGAGTGCTTCTGGAAGTCGTTAAAAATCTAGTGATTACTTGGCTAGTGGGTCCCTCGTCTTCCTCTTTTAGTAAAGCTCTTCTGAAGGTGTCAGCGATGCGTTCTGCTTGTCCATTGGATTGGGAATGGTAAGGTGGGGACCGTAGATGCGTTATGCCGTTTGAATTGCAGAATCCCTTGAATGAGTCCGCAACAAATTAGACCCATTATCATTTATCAAGGTTTCTGGTACTCCGAAACAACTAACTAAGATAGCTTCTGAATAGTTTCCGAGGCTGTAAAGTTAGGCATGCTGTATATTTCTGGCCATTTCATATATGCATCTACAATAATTAGAAACATTTTACCTCGGATTGGGCCAGCGAAATCTGCATGAATTCTCTTCCAAGGTCCACTAGGTTTCTGCCATTTTTGGGACTCACAATTCGAGGGTTTTTTGCGGCTTGTAAGCATGAAAGGCAGTTTCGACGTTTGGTTTCTATATCTTTATCCACTGAGGGTCAGTAGCCGTAGCTGCGCGCCAATGATTTCATCTTGTTTCTTCCAGGGTGATCACTGTGAAATTGCTTGAGGGTTTTATGTAGCAATAATTGGGGAATAATAATTCGGTCGCCAAACAGAACGCATGAATCGATAATAGTGAGTGAATCGCGCCGGCAAAAATATTGTTGCAGTTCTCCTCGTAAACGACGATTCGGCCACTTTGAGAGGAGATTACCCTTTACTTTTTGTAGTATTTTGTCATTTCTTATAGCTTCTTTAGTAGCTTTGAATGTAACTGGTAGACCATCTACTGAGTTTTTCAGCACTCGATGTACTTCTAACTCAATCGCAGACACCAAAGTATCTTCTTCCTGATTCGCTTAAGAACCAATGAGCCTAGACAAAGCGTCAGCTTGTCCGAAAGCAGTAGTAGGTTGATACTTAATTTTGAAGTCACAACCCTATAATGTAGTTCCCCATCGTTGCAATCTGTTTACAGTATAGACTGGGATCCCTTTCTTTGACCCAAATATGGCTAGCAGCGGTTTATGGTCAGTTAACAGTGTGAAGCTGCGTCCAAATATCCTCTTGCGAAATATTTTTTACAGTGAAAATAATTGACAGTGCTTCTTTCTCAATCGGACTATAGTTACGTTCTGCTGTAGTTAAAGACCTTGCTGCATGCGAGATTGCCTTCTCTGATCCATCAGGCATGATATGCGAAATGCTTGCTCTAGTGCCGTAGTTTGAAGCATCTGACGCTACTACAATACGAAGGGATGGGCCATAGTGTGTCAGCAACGGATCCGAGAGTAGCAGTTTTTTAATCTTCTCGAAAACAGTTTGAAAACTTCTGGACCAACACCACTTTACGTTCTTGGTTAAAAGACTGTTTATTGGGGCACGTAGAAAGTGATCTAACTGAAAACAATGTGTTTTGTTCTGAAAATGTCTTCTTGTGAAATCGCCAGTGTACACTTCAGTGTATACAATATGTCTAAGGCTATTAGTAGATTAAAGGACCAGATGGTATCCCAGCCAGTATGCTGAAAAATGTAAGCAATTATCTATGTTATTCTTCCTGAATTATTTACTGTAATGTTTAAGAGTGGTTTTTGAATTCAGACAAACAGTTCTAGAAGTTTAAATACGCGCCTTGTCCGGATATCCCAAGGAGAAAGCAATTAATCTGGGTATGAAACTGTTCTATTATTAATTAAAAGGTACAGATAGTTACCTAAACAATATTACACTGTTCTCCCGCAATATGTTTCCAATTCTGGAAGAATGCTTCCGTATAGGTCCTAAATTCCCCCCTTCCAGTCCAGATGTACGTTTTTCCAGCCAGGGTATGAAATCCAATATGGCTGACGCCATAACTAAGTATCAATTTAAACAACATAATACAGTTCAGTAGAAAAAATAGAAACTCCAATAAAAGTACAAAAATATAAACTATAACAAAATACAAATATTATATCAGAAAATAGGATTAAACGGAGTACAAAAATGTAGCACTGAAAGAGTCAGTAGGACCATATTACAGTTATGTACATGGAGGGATTTTCCCAAAACAAAGCCTTCAAAATGGATTCTACGTTTACTATATCACTCTCTACCGAGTGTTACGCTAATATCTGGAATACTGTGCATATCATCAGCACAATTAAATCTTGGCCTACGGTTAATGTTAAAAATTAATGACCCATAAACATAACCTCAGTACAATCTATGGCGTTGGAGAAAGTAGTAAAGGCAGAGGTGATGCAACACCTACTTAATAACAATCTGAAATAGGCCTCACAGCATGGGTTCTTCAGGACCACGTCACGCAATACATGGCTGCTAGATATCTCAATGTTACCAGGCAAAAACAAGACAAAGGGCTTCCAGTACCAAAACCTTTTTCGACTTAAAGAAAGCTTTTGATAAGGTCCCACATAAAAGACTTCTCCTAAAGCTAGTCATTAGGAATCAGTAACTCACTATTTTCGTCGTTTGTTTCATTCCCAGAAGGAAGCCAACAAATGGTTAGATGCGACGGTTGCATTTCATTGCCAAGACGAATAACCAGTTGAGTTATCCAAGGAAGTGTATTAGGTCCACTCTTGTTTCTGATGCACACAAACGATATATGTGAGACTATGAAATCTGGAATATCATACTTACATGCGGGTGATCTCAAAATAGTATACTGATATATCCCAGAAGATATGGACGAAAATATAGACAGGATTCAGAGTAACAAAGACAGCTTATATACCTGTAGCGAAAAATGGCACGTGCCTTTTAACCACAACAAATGTGGCACGATGTATTTTGCTAAGCATCATCATGAAATACCACTCGTCACCTCAATATTGCTCAGTAATTTTTTAAAACATGAATATCTAGTATCACTTCCTACCAATAAATCCTATTTCAAGCAGATCCAGACAATTATGGTGAAAAAGAGCTCACTCGTGACTTCTTCAGCTACAGTGTTAAAAAGAAAAAGGATAAATATAATGTCTTTGAAGCATTAGACCACTATGCTTCATCATTATATTCTGTAAGTCTACTTTATTGCCAACAAATTAGTTCGTCTGAATTTCCTCTACTCATATAATAATAATAATAATAATTTATTCTCAAATAACTACGTTACAAGAGTCACGCCAGTTTACAGGCTAGATCAAATTGTCACAAATGCTTTCACCATTACTGTAAAGTTATAGCAGTTAAATTAAGTATAAGAGTCAGTTTCTGATTGCATATTTACACCATGTCACTGACAGAAACAGCCACATTTTCAATAGTAGAGTACAAATAAGGAAGGAAGGCGATTTGCCGAGATCAATAGTGAATTTGTTGGGAAAGGTCATATGGAACGCGCTTGATACGAGCTGTGATCCAGACAGTCATGTATGTAGGGTGCATGTTCCCTAGAGTCGCCAAGGATTTCCCACCGTGAATGGGGTTCTGAAAAGGAGAAGAGAGAGAGGAAAAGGCAGCAGTGTGGCAAGTGTATATACATAACCAAAGCACTACTTAACCTGTCATGTTGAAGTAGTCAATACAGTAGTAAGTCAAGATAAAATTCATACTGACCACTTAAATTAAATTAAATTATGGGAATATAAGAATATAACACACAGATAAAGGAGTACAGCAAAAGGAAGGAAGAGTTATGCAGTGTCAGGTGGATAGAAAAGAAGTCGAAGTAAGAAGCTGGATTAATGTACGTCGAAATCGAAAGAGTAGAGTTTGTAAAAAGAAAATTTTGATGAATAAAATCTCGCACTGTCTAACTGTTTTTTTATTATTATTATTATTGAATGCCAACCTGTAAGTCATACTGTAAGCGCCTGAGTAAGAATGTTGCGGGTGTCTCGACAGAACAGCGACCTCAGCATAGTTTTGGAAACATGAACCACAGAAGTAGCAAGTGTATAAGAGCAACCTCAGTGTTGCTGATTAGTCGTCTCATCAATCTAAAGAGCCGAAAGCAAACAAAATGTTCTGCC